GCGTCGTTTTTCAACTGAAACTAATGTAAATTCGCGCATAATTTCCGCTTGAATGTAAAACGTTTGAATGTCTAACACGCTGAAACAAATTAAGGCAATTGGCATGCAGAAAAACTACTTTACATTCCTCTTGAAAAGCTTTAGTTGCGAAGATGCGGAAAGTTTTGCGTATTGCGTTTGCTACTATTAGAATATTAAGTGAATATAGATGTGTTGTAACTTCATGTAATATTAAATAATTCTAGCATTCGTGCGAGAGTAAAGAACTCTATTAAAGAAAAAAAAAGATCCACTCCATAAATTCATAAAAAAAAAGCTTCATGCAAATATACGATGTCCAATGCATGCATGTATATCGAAGAATTGTCAATATATCAGTTATCAATTCTTATCGATTACTTTGGATCGAAACCTTTACCTTTACCTTCAAAGCTGTTACGTTTATTCGCGGTGCATGCTCGATGGAACGCAAGCGCGGCGGGAATCATCGTTGCGAATCGACGGGAGCAAATTTTCCTTGTGGCGGTACCAAGCTGCGATTACGGTCGAGCCGCGTACGATCATGTAGAAAGAACGCATTAGGGCGAAGCACGGTATTAGCAGAGAATTCAACCTGCAGACCGGACGGCGTTGCCGGCCGTCTAAACCGGACTATATCGTCCAGAACTAATTGCCTCAACGGACGTTCGGTCGCTGCTGGTACCTCTGCTTGTGCCAAATGGTTGTTCGCGAATGAAGCACCAGGGACGGAAAGAGGGTCACGCGTTAGAGATGAGACGAGACGTGAGGAGAGATTGGTGGCTCGCTCGCTTGCCTGTGCAAATGACGATCCTATCGTCGACTAACGGGGCCCTAGCTTTAGAAGTTTCGTGATCGTGACGCGGTATGTCGTCGCCAATTGTCGCCGTTTTGTTGCCAACATCGATTACAATCGTGTGCTATGTATAGGCGGCTGAGAAAAAATTTATTCGGTCATTCGTTTCGGTTTCGACGAGACAAGAGTCCTGATTTGCCGGTCTTTTTCTTTTTAATGGATAAGTGGCGAGATGACGGGGAAAAGATTCATTCGACGATCGTGCCGAAAGGAAACTCGTGTCGAGCCACTATCAAAGCGTGACTGAGACCCTCTCCACTCTTCGACATCCGCGATTGACCGATTTGCGAACGATCGAATTAAGTTCACCGTCCTATTCTCGCTTCAAAAAGATCTCGACGATATCCAATACAGTTTCGCGCTGTCTTTCGTCGCCAAAAACTTACGATTAACACTAAATCTCTCTTATTCCTTATTATAAATAAGGAGAAAAACGGATGACAACGAGCGTGCGGGAGCGAGATGAAAGCAGGTTAAAAGCAGTAAAAAGAGTACTTTGTAGACGTCAAGCTGTCACATACAGGCATACTTGTGAGCTAGCACGTAAGGGGTTTTCTCGAGAAATTCGCCGTAAACGGTCGCCGGTGCGTAAGATGCTCAGAGAGCCTTTGCATATATGCGCCCTGTCTCGAATACCTTTTACTTTCTTCGCTCTTAAGACGCACCTTAACGTCCCTTTACTCGTATCTCGCCATACTACTAGATTATCACGTGTGCGTTCAAGCGTTGATGGTTTTACGACGGTACAAAAGACGCAAGCGTAAAACGACGCATCGTCGGCTAGCAGTGCGATCGCGCTTCCCTTTACCTCTTCGATGTACCGTGCCTTTTGGCAATTATCCGGCATGACGATCGCGTAAAAGAAATATCACGCAAGCATTAAACGAGATCGCAAGACATTTACTTTTTATTTCGTTCGCCAGATGTTCGTCAGTGCGCGAGTTACGTCGCCCCGGGCACCACGGCGGTTCACTATTGGGACACGAAGCCGTCTTTCAACCGAATCTGTTCCGGTTATATAGTTAGGTCTTTGTAAAAACTAGTATGAAGTACATCACGGTTAGTTCATTAAATTGTCAGTTTTTGTCTCATATAAAGACTCTTTTTCGCAGGTAGAAAAAGTATTAGAAGCAGCGCACAATGGAAACATTTTAGAAACATTTATCACTTCGTTTTAATTAACGTTATTATTCCCACGATACTATTTATTTAAAACGTAATATAATAAGTGATAATACGGCTTTCGAGTGGTAAAGAGCTATTGCACAAATTATATAAAATACAAATATCGCAATAAGTTGTCTAGTAATAGGTGTCTAAATTGTTTTCAGGCATACATAAAGACGCAGTAGTCCCCTCTTTTAAGACATCATTTGAAATATTAGTCAGTTTGTAACGCGATAGTAATTTATACACGTCTGTTTTAGTTTCCTCATCTCGGAAGCAAATTACTTGATATGTGTTACCCTTGACAGATGCGCTCGAAAAATATCAACGGAACAATACCGCTTCTCCATAGGTATAAGATCCTATTCTGCCGTTTAATTAATGCCCACAAGTCCAATGTCTGCGGACGTATAGTTTATATTAATTATACCTCGGAAGATTCAATTAGTGCGTTTCTCATTACACTTACTTATACCGGTATCCATTATTCATGAGGAACCACTGCAGTAGCACCCTCTGACAATGCACGTGATCCTTATAATTCATCGTCAGAACCGAATATATAAATGTACACAGAATTCATACATATATATGTGTGTGTGTATGTATATATATCGGTCTTCTATAAAATATGCGAAATGTACAAAAATGAAACGTACAGTTCGATATAAAACATAAGAAAGAAAGTTGACGGGAGGAGAGAAAAGAAAGAAAGAATTTTTATTAACTTTCTATTAAAATATTTAATCGCTTTGAATTTTTTATATTTCCAGAAACTGCAATTTTTATTTATTTCTTTCTCTCGTTTGATATATTATATTAAGTCATTATATTTGACACTTGAATTACAAAACGTATCAATGATGAATTTACCGCAACGTACGTGTAATTTTTATTTCAAGATTTTATCAACGTTTCAAAGTTCTGCGAGGAAGATATACTCGCATACGTATACGTGCCGTAAAGGCATTCAACAGCAGCGGGAAAATAATGGGTCAAGAAATACTCGAGAAAGAGTGTACCTCAGGGCAACACCCAATATGTTGCTCCACTGGGTGCAGCCTCTTGTAGAAAAATCAACCGCGCTGAAAGTGCGAAAGCTGTTTCGTACTCTACAAAAATTTAAATAAGATTCGAGCGAAAATCTCTGGATGCAATTTCAAAAGTATTTACCGAAAGGTATTTGCGATCAATCATTTGTATTATTTGATAAAAGAATCGATATTGGTTGATGATACTTCATTGCAGAATTTATAATTTTATCAATTTTATCAAATTGCATATTGTAAAATTCAAAGTACATTTCATTCAATCGTTGTTCATTATGCCACGTATTTGTAGGTCGCATTTTAACAGTTTAATATATATATCTATTTTTTGAAATAATTAGTGCACGAGAATTTCTAATGTATGTACATACATCTGCAATTAAATACCAATGTAAAAATACTGATTCTATCAAAATGTTTGATATATTTCTGGAAAAATGGAAAACTATAATATATTGTGAAAGATAATATTCGTGACAGATTGTTACACACGTTGAGAATGATTATTGCACAGTTCGATGCAAAATCCTCGATATTTTTATACGATATTGATTTGACGTTGGAGAATTTGTTTGAAATATACATCGGAGTTAAACATACTGGGCCATATAGATCGTGCATAGTGGGTTACAAAAATATTCGATACTTGCATACATCAGCAAACTAATGAAAGACAGTCTTATTATTTTTCTACGGATAATTATTTTTCGATTTTTTATGAATAAATTATTTTTTAATACATTTTAATATCTTTATTTTATTCATTTTTTAACCTACCTGATGTTTGATCAATCTTTTTATTAGAAATCAATTTATATAAAGTTAAGTAATGAAGGTTATTTTATTGTCTGCCGTAATTAATCTTAATTCACATTTTTGCTTGTATCTTAACAAACAAAGTATTTATTTCATATTATATTCATGTTGATAATTCTGAGATACGCTTAATATCTTAATAAAGATTTCCAAGTCCGTTGACACAAATGCGAAAATTCCTGTTTAATATTTTCACCATTTCCATAATCTAGAGAAATTATCAAGCGTACAATCTCTTGTACACGTTATAGAATCTTTAATCAACAAAATTATCTTATCCTTAATATCTTTTCATTATTAATGTATTAATTAATGGACTAGACAGGTGAAAAATTACGCGTACGGTTTGCGAGGAACGTGTGATAAGCACATCGACCCGATTCTCACCGACGTGAGTACCGGACGACACCGTCTATTATGTCTCACGTTTTGTTTCGCTTATTTTCATCCGGTAGATCAAGGCAATTGGTACCGCGGGCATTGTACAGAAAATTATTGCACTTCGCCCAAAGCGATCCTTACATTACACAAAATGTTCGTACAAGACTGATGTGGAACGATCTTAACATATCTCGGTTATCCTACGAAAAGCCATAATTGTGCAAAACAACAAGAAAACGCGCGGAACCTCCAGGCTGACTCATGTGCATATGAAAATCTAATTTTAATGATAACAGATCAAGAAAAGATTATCACGCTTTACACGCCATTCTAAATGTTATTGTCATTGGATATTTCTTAAGAGGGAAAGTAACGGTATCGCTTCGTAAACGCATCTGTTAAAGCAACGCCATTAATTTTAAATGCACGGTATACAACAGAACTATCAATATTAAAAAACGCTTTTGCACGGTAGGAATTATTCCTTTATACCACCATGAAGTTGTAGAATGTTTGTAATTAACGTCCACGTAAATAAGGCAATCAAGTAGTCCGCGCTCCACTTTAACTTTTCACTCGTAGAAAAAAACATATCCACCTTAGAACACTGCAGTTATCGGGAGTAGCCTCGGGAGTTTGTTAGCATCAGCGCATACATAGTCGATAGTTCATACTACAGTCTTTAAGAAGATACGATAACGATTCAATCTTACCTGGATTGCTGTCGGCGTTAGAGCTGAATAGGACGCAAAGCCCCGTCTCGTAGTTGACCGCCTGGCAGGAGTCGTTTGCCTGACAGGTCTCGAGGCAGTCGGTGAGCATCAACGTGCCTGGTATGGACTCGAGCATGTTCGTAGGCGCGGTGTACACGTAGCCGGTTACGAGCTCGAAGCCAACCATCTCGGGATCGCACTCATCCGAACCCGCGGATGGTCCAGTGTAATCCGGACCGGAGAGACCGGACGGTACGGACGCGGACGACGGCGACAGATCGGTCGCGTGCGTCGATTCCGCGGCAATCGCCTGGCCGTACCTCGAGATGGTTTGCAACAGCAACAGTAACGTGACGAGATATCGACGATACGGTCTCGTCATTGTCGTATCTCGATTGAACGCTCAGAATACAGTAACGTCGTGATCGCGTATAATCTGTAACAAAAAAAAAATGAGTATTTAATATGACATTATTAAAAAGTGTGAGCTTTTAGATAAACATCTTTGATCGTATATATTCTAGCGAAAAAAGAAAATCTATTCTAGTGTGATATTGAAACAAAATTGTTTTTGAAAACAATTTATTAGTCATTTATGGAGAGAACGATTTTGCTGAAGTTTTGACATTCCAACAATCAGTTTGAGTGTCCTAAAAATTTCGATGGTCTAATAAAATTATTTTCAGATCTGTATCTAGCTAAATTTTTTAATACTTCAGCAAATTGTTCTCATCGTGTTGAATTTGAGAAAATATAAAAATTTGAAATAAAAAGAGTTTAAGGAAATAGGAAAAGATTTATTTTCCACAGAAAATTGTTGTCTTCATTTTTAATTTTAGAAATGCAGACAAAAAACCGACAAGTTTGTACATTTTCTCAGTTTCCCAGAATAATGCTACGAAATGTCGTGCAACTTTCATCTTGAAAATTTCTTTTAATATTTATCTTCTTCATTATGGAAATTACTATGAAAATTTTAAAAGAAAGGTTGAAAATGGAAGAAAAATTGATGCATATGAACATGATGAAGGTTGCTTAAGATTCTCGTAGAATCTTATCCTATTTAATGACAATAGTAACGATACTACTTTTCAAAGTTAAATGCAAAATAAAAAGAACATAGAATTAAACGTCTTAAGTATTTTTCTGAACCGTTTTTCTTCGTTATGAGACTATTTTCTCTGCTGCTTAAGCGAATGCTTCAGCACTCTGACGGACTGAATAAAGGGGAATTAACGGAAGCAGGGATTAACGGGATGGAATGTATCGCCGTTGGTCAAGTGTCGCGCTGTTCTTATAAGTGAACGGGAACAGGAATAGTAAATTGGAAAATAAGATTTGCCTACATATTAATAATGCAAGATAAAGTAAAAATATTTGTAACAATACTAATTTTGCGAATGGTCAGCAATGCTTTGAAACGATATTCAATGGCATTAAAACAGGCTACGATAACTAACAGTAGTTTCAAAGAAACAAGATTTTTACACTAAAAGATTTTATAGTTGCAGAAATTAGTACAGCATCTTAATAATTCTACAACCGTAAAACACATCAACATCGATTTATAAATTAAAAATGCACAAGTATGAAACGCGATCACTAAATTTAAAATGCTTTCAATAAGACAAGCATGGGACGCGCAATTTATAATTTAATATCTATAACGTGCAATCTGGATTTATCAATATATAGCACTATTATGACAGATCGTGTATGTACAACGCTTGGACAACAGGAATAAATTGAAATAACAATTAGAATATTAAAAACGCGGAACAGAGCAATAAAAATTGAGAATCGTTCATATTTCCGTTACACCGCTGCATACATTGCGCAATAAATAACAAACAGCGCGGCGTGCATATGCGGGAATTTAAATCGCCGGATACTTTCGTGGACCACTATGACCCCATGGAATCGCGATCCAATGGCAATCCGGACAAACTCTGACAGTTTCGTTCCGCCGAAAATAACGACGAAATATACCGCCGTTCGAAATGTGCGGCTTGCATGTTCCTACGCATGCTGCACATCGAAAACACACCAGTGCACTGCTGGTGTACCTTTGGTACACAGACGAATTCCAGGAAACGTACCTGGTCGAACGGTCGAAAGAACAGCGGCAGCAACAACAGCAGTAGGTATCAGCCGATGTTATCAATGTCGAATTTTGGGACGCGAATTGCTCGCGATTTGCCACTGGTGCGATAGTGCACGTTGCAATTCGGCGGCGCTTTCGGCCCGCACTCCTGCGCCGCGCGAAGGCGAATTCCACGGGCACCTTTCTCACGGAATCATCGGTAAACACGCGAGCTCTCGGGAATGGCCGTTAGCGCACAACGTTGGAACAGTACACACAAACGTGGGCCAAGCCTTATAAACGGTCCGCGAAAACAAGAGAGACACAGGGAGAAAAAGAAATCCAAAGGGGGAAAAAGAAACCGGCTACTTTTGTTTGTCGCGCATAGCGTAAACCACACCACGAAATCACAGACGTAACACGCTGATTCGCAATACGAGAGAGCCTCGCGACCACCGCGGCCGCTCAGAGGATATAACTATGTCGGTCGACTGGCTCTTAGGCACTGTGTACACCTGGCAGTGTGGCTCTTCCACGAGCGACCGAAGACGTCTGCCGGAGGGGACCGAGGCCGCTGCCGTCTAAGGAGGACAGAACGGTACGCACAATTCGATCGCCGGTACAACACCATTGAAAACATCACTGGTCTCCTACCTCTTTCTCTTTCTCTTGATCGGCTACTTCGCGTATCCCCGCCCAAATTCCCCGCGCGCTTCTACCTTTCCGGTTTTTTTTTTATTTTTTCTTTCCTTTTTTTTTTCTTTACATTCCCAAGTCGAGATCGGTGAAGTCACGCCACTTTAAACGCCGAAAATAGCCAGCTCGCAGTTATCAAATTATTTAGCGGATCCTGAACCCACTTGTCGCCCACCTACTTTAACATCTTCCGCGATCCGTTCAATAGGGTTTATTTTCGCACGATGACACATTATGTTCTTGTTGGATTAAGCCAAAGCTGGGTGAGCCGTGGTACTTTACGCGTTAAGTTATACGCTGACAAGGATTTACTAGCTCCTTGACGTCCTCTTATCCTCTTTTAAAATATCAGCCTCCACCGTCGCTTATTCGAAAAGTTTCTCTTTTTTTGTACATTGACAAACAAGGTGACATGAGAAAAGGGATCTGACAGCTAAGCATATTGTCGTCTGTTATTTTTTAGCTATGATAAAGGTTGTATAGAACGCGGAAGATAAGCACGATATTCTCAGTACTGCTTCGAATTCTCTCCCAGCTCTTTCGCAACGCAACATAACGGATCGATCGCCTCGAGGGATCGCTGCCGAATCAGCCGCAAAGTTAATTCATTTCGCAATTGCTTCCGCCGTCAGTGGCGTGAGAGCGGTATCATTTTGTAGCCTCGTGAGCGTGCGATGTCGACCGATTCGGACAATCGCGGATGCATCCGGCCGCAAAATCACCGTTGCACGTGTTCTCAACGACACCACACGCGTACCGATGTAAGGATACGACATTGGATGGTTATGTTTAATTGGTGAGAGTATGAATGCGAATAGCTCGTATCGTGCAGCGGATACGCGATCGAGCGAGAGCATTTCAGGCCGGCACGCGTGGTGAACCACCAACCAGCGAAGGTAATTCCCTCGGTGCGAGGAACTAGACGGAGTAAACGGACGCGGGGCACTCTCTGTCATTACTCGGTACTTGTTGCGGCTATGAAAGACTCGTGGAATGAGCCGATGATGCGTGTCTGGTAAATAGTAATTATGTCGAGAGAGAGAGAGAGAGAGAGAGAGAGAGAGAGAGAGAGAGAGAGAAAGCAAGTGCATACCAAGAATTGAGAAGCGGGAGTTGCGCTATGCCGTGCGGTAAACAGGACGAATGAACGGGGCGTAGAAAAGGGAGCGATGGAGAACGGGGGAAAAGAAGGGGCTTTCAAAGAGAGCAAAATTGAATGTTCACGTGTGAACAACGCGACCCAGCCGAGCATCGGTGTCTCCGTGGAAACACTCGGGCAAGTGATCTGCACTCAGAAAGCTTCCAGCGCGAGACGCGCGGGAAAAAGATGGAAAGAAGGAGTGAAAGAAAGAAGGGGACGACAGAGAGGAAGAGGGAAAGGATGGTCGGAGAGGGGCAGCGCTCGGTACCAGGTGCCTGTACCATCGCGTCACCATGGCGGAATAACGGTTTCTGGATGTCCCATCGGGTTCAATCGCAAACGGCTATCTCGCGCCGCGGAATTTCGCAGGGAAACGGCCGCTTCGCTGTCGTCGCGACCATCGATTTACGACTACCATCCGTCCGCCCTCGAGCATCAATCGACTCAACGATAGGGGGGCCCCTCTCGTTCTGTCTTGCTCCATAATTCGGTGTCTGGCCCATATATCCTTTTGATAAAGAGGACAACGGGATAATCTTACATCGCCGACTGTCCCATTTTGCGCGAACGGTAATTTGAAATTCTACGCTCGAGAGATTATAAGTCGTCGGACAGTGTGTGATCGAATGAGATTCTGGCTTCCCGTAGAATCTAAGGAAATGATCGATCATCGTGCTGTCGAATAGTCGAGCTCGCCGCCGTAAAATCTCTCGTGCCGGACACACCGGCAACCACGTATGAATCGTCTGGATATTATTAACGTGCGTGTTAAGTTATTACTAATAAAGATACCGTAGCGTTGTGGTGGCGGTGTGCGCAAGGAGAGCGATCGCGCGGCGCGATAAGATAATTACTGCAGCAATCGGTGGCAATAGCATCAACGCCGCGCGGTTATTGCACACTGTCTCAAGGCGTGGGCACGATAATGCCGATGTCAGGTATACGCCTGTATGTGTGGAGCATTACATTAACTCGTATCAACCACTCCGGATGAACTGAAGCAATTCTTATGGAAATTGAACGGACAACCAGTACCTATACCTGCCTGCCTGCCTGCCGAGTACGTTACGCCTGGCGTTGCTGAAACGCCGATCGATTACTTCGCTCCTACTGCGATCGATCGCTTCGTTTTCTCATCTATCTGCTAGACGCACTGGGGCGTCGTGAGAACTTAGTCGATCGGTCAATTAGAATATGTTTTCCCGACTGGCTGCCAAATGTGCTACGAGGTTACGACGCGGTGACTCACGACCGCGAGTGACTCGCGTAACATTAACGGACACGCGACTTATCACATAACGGCGTAAGGCCGTTCTCGATACCTGTTCTCGGTCAAGCAAAGTTATGTAGAAGGTTACAGGAGTGCGGCTTTCGTGAGCCACGTCGTCGTGGATTCCACGGTACGTTCGGTCGCGTACATACGAGCCCCTTAGATTTATGGATGGTACCCGCATCGTTAAGA